CTGCTGCACTTGGGACAATCTGTCTCCCACTCACCACCCCAGAGCTGAAGATCTATTTACAGAGCACTCAGTCCATCACAAGAAGAGCTGATGCATTTTTAAACACAATGGCAACGGCAGGCAGCAGCTGAATGGTGGCCTTAGCCAGACAGGCAGTTATGCTCTTTAAGGAGCGCTTAACTACAGCAAACTGCGTGCCGGCATACAGTCAGAACACAGTCAGTGCTGTGCCGAGTGTCAGACAAGTGAACAGGGTGACAGTGCCCCCTACAGGGCATGGGTGGAGGGGCACCTTGGTGATGCAAGCACAAAGAGAGTAAAAAAGGAGCAATTAAGAATACATGTAATGGGATATATATGTCATGCATGCACAGACATCCCTGCAGAGATTCTCTTTGCTGTGTAAGGTCTGCAGTTAATTTTTTGTGCCACAATATACTGTATGAGGGCCAACCAGTAATGGCGAGTTTATATGTCTTGTTCAACATGCATTTGCAGATTAATGGCTGTGGGGCTCTGCAGGAATATTCTGTAACTCGGCAACATGACACAGAAAAGTTATATCTTACAGCATCAAGAGTTTCATCACTTTCCTGTTGTGACTTAATCTTTTATAAAATGTGGGGCATTACTTTCTGGGTGATCTTCGTACTTTTATCTCGCAGTACTCACTTTATTTTAATAAGTCTCATTTCCAGCTTCAGCTGGATTGGTTTTGTCACTGCATTAGTCTGCATTACACTGTAGTGACACTACATAGTCCTTACAAATCGCTGCACATCATTAGGAAAGAGAATCACAACCCGCCCCATAAGACCGAAAGTGAGCTCATCTCCCTGCTGCTGAAGAGCTTGTTCTAATCCCCCTGTCAGCACGGAGCCCCAGCAGAAAGCAGCGGCGAGGGCCTGCCGCCTCGTGCTCTGCCATCTGTCTGCCCAGCCCCATCTCTCCGGGCCAGGAGACACAGGCGCTTGGCGCGAGCAGATTCACAACCTTCCAGGGCCACAGTTTGGTCGAGGACAGGAGCTTGACACCCCCGTCTGCTCAGTGCAAAATGTTTTAATCCGTGTCAACAGCTATTACCACTGGGGACGTGTGAAAATGTGGAGAGGATACCGCAGCGCTTATGAACATTTAAGAACTTCTCTCCAAAAGCCGGGCTCTGTGAGACTAAACTCACAGACAGCTCCTTTTAGAGCAAATTTAAAGGAGACATCCACAAGACTTGTATCTTGGCTACCTCTGCAGATACAGTCAGGATGTTTGCAAGGACATACATGACTGAACGGAAAATATAGATGAAGAAGCTGCTCTCCGGCCCACACAGGGGGCTCGGGTCAGCATGTCCTGGGGGGCCCTAATCCTCAGCCATACACAAAAGCAAAGCAAACAAATATTTTTATCATGTTCAGTCATGTAAATGATACAAGAACAACAAGAGTATTTTTTAATAAATTTCAACGAATCTACTTTAGAAACTGACCCCGCGCTGACGTCCTGGTGAGTGCATGTGGGCTGTGCAGGCTGGAAGGGGAGCAGAAATCAAGACTGACATGCATTCACTGATTGCATTAATTTTTGTGCCCGTTATTTTAGAAGCTGACAACCGCACAACTTGCAGCTCTTATTAACTGCTGTCATTATTACTACTAGTGTGGCTTGTTATCCATACAGTCCTCTGCGGACTGCTCCTGCTCTCTCCAGGGTGGCCTGGGAAACAAGAGGATCTATTCAGGCTCTCCAAACGCTGACACCCCGCCAGGTGTGTCTGCAGGCCGTTCACAGCGCGTTCAAACGGCGGCTTTGTGTGAAGGGCTTATGAGATGCCTCGAGAGCTCAGGGACAGTGCATGTGAGTCTCGTTAGTGGAGATTTCTCTGACTTCATGACCACCCCGCAGGTGTGGCTCTTTTCTCTGTGTCTCCTCTCTGCTGGAGAGACGGCGCCAGTTCTCCCTGTGTCCCCTCATTGCCACTCTATTCACAGTGTATTCCCAGAGACCTTCCTGTTGCACTGACAGCCGAGCCACGACGGCTCTCACTTTCCTCACTTGTAAAGCAAAGCAAGCCATGTGGTCTCAGATGTCATCTCCGTTCTCCAGCAACGTACCAGAATACAAGAACAAATGACATCAGAAACCAATGAGGCAATCAATCAATTCTGTGATTGCCTGCTAATGACTGAAACAGCCAAGAAGGCCTGTCCATTTTGTGCGGCTGCTGCCAAGTCATGCCTTATGCCCGCAGCTGGCTACAGATACCTGACACCACTCAGGGCTGAGTCATTTTGGGCACCAGCACACTGCTTATCTCCCTGCCAACGGACACACGCTTCGCCAGGCGCTCCTCAGAGAAGACGGCAGGAGGTGCCCAGATGGGCTCAGCCTGGACAAGCTCGATTCTAGGAGAGTCTGGCCTTGTCTACGGGAGACACACTGTGTCCTTGGCCCCTATGTGCTCGGACTCTCACAACAGCACACCAGCAACAGCAGGAAAAGACCAGGACTGCTCCCAGTCTGCCTGTTTACCTGTGTCCTCCTTCTTCCCACACTCTTCTCCAGAGGCCCTGGCATGACCTTGCTCCTGTGGGCCACTATGCGGTTTTTGGGAAGAAACAGAGACAGACACAGGCAGGGAGGCTTCTCTCTGACAGTGACTCACACACACACTCCCTGCAGAGAATGAGCTGTATAGTTCTGTTTTATCACTATTTAATGTAAAAGAAAAATCTACCATGGAAAAAGCAGTTATGAGCATTAAGGTGTTTGCACACAAGAGTCTGCCTCATTAGTATGTAAAGAAGAGCTTTGTTGTTAGTAACTAATTGACCCCAAGTGTTGTTGAAAGAAGCAATGGGATCAGCTTTCACAGCTTTTAGGGAGATACAACTCTTCGATGAGCAGGGGAAACTGACCTCAGAACCCAGCTTTGCTCCGCAGCCATTGAGAAATCGCTGCAGGCCGCAGTGGAGCTACCGACACCGGGGAGAGCAAGCGTAGGACAGGCTGTAGGCAGCAGGGGGTGAAGACCCAGGCCAGGTGACCATGCTGTTTAAAAGGGCCGAAGCCGCTGGAGACACTGAGGGTCACCTCCTCGCCACGCTGCTGTCCAGGCCAGGTTCAATCCCCTGGCCCCTGAGAGAACCATGGCACTGAATGCACCACTCCCCGCTGAGGCACAGGTTACACAGCAGAACACTGCAAGATTACCATCATCTACAGTGAGACAACGCCCAGTGTGGCAGGCTTGAGGCTGGTGGTTTGTTGTGGTTGTGCGTAGTTTTAACTCCTGGCTCTCTCTGGCTCAGGCATGGGTGAGCCAGGAGTCAACATTCTGGCCATGAGGTCGAGGTAATTAATGAGACACATGCAGAAGCTGACCTCCAGCAAGCTCTCAGCACATTGCAATATAAGAAGATACAGAGTGGCTGGGTTTCATCCGCAGGTCCGTCAGCAACTGTGACCATGACTGAAAGGCAGCAGCTGAAACAGGAAGCACTGGAGTTCATGACTCTGCCCTGTTTCAGCTGCTTCAGCAACATGCCACTGCTGAGCCTCCAGGCCAGCTCTATATCTGCAAGCCCACCACCCTGACGCTCATGAGGTTGTCCGGGGCTGGCTGGCTGTCTGAAGTCCCATCACAAAGAAGACACTTAGACAAGTGCAGCAGGTGGCGTGACAGAGTGTCAGGATACTGAGCGATGCACACAGTAGCTACAGTCGTGCTGCCCTGCCTGCAGAGTGGCAGCAGGGCGGGCCTGTGCCTCAGAGCTCTCTCCATCCTCTAGGAGGGAAAACCTGGGACAGATGTGCACTTACACCAGATGTAAAAGGAGAGCTCTGCACTGCTAATCCTGCAGACTGATTGGTGTGAAAGGGACAGATTATTGCCCTGACACAGAATCCTGGTCCTAGGATAACAGGAAGCAGGAGGCGTGAGCTAGTGGACCTAAAGAAAAATAAGGGCTGACATCTGCAGCAGAGAGTTTCCCTGTGGTATCAGTCAGCACACACCTGAATGCAGACTGACCACAGCGGGCCTGCTGTCGGACAGATGACCTGATCAACTCCAGTCGACTCATCACGTGTCTGGAGAGGCAGGAATTCTCAGTGGTGGGAATGGCAGCAGTGCACATTGCTGGGGAGTGTGCGAGCTGGGGGCAGGGCTGGTTGCATGCTGTCCCTCCCCTTTAATGCCTCACGATGGTATCGCCACCAGCAGTCGCCTGGTGTGATTGTGCACAGAGGAAGGACAGGGGCGGCACTCTCCTTTCTCCTATGAACCCTGTTGCCCCTTCCTCTTGTGAGCTGTTGACCTATCAAAATAACACCCCTCCCCCACTGTTATTGATCAGCACCTTCTCACTGTGATCAATCAAAGCACTGCCCATGAGTATGGTGTTGTCATTCTGCATGGTGCACTCCTCGACAAACCTGTAGGCAGTTTCTGGCTAGTCTGCGCATCATCTGCACTCAGGAAGCGTATCTCAGTGAAGGTTTCGGGTTGATATGTGTGTGTTGATTAAGTGGTCTGAATGTCTGTGACCAGGTGACTCTGGATTTCTGCCAGTACGAATCTCACACACAACAATTGTGCTGAGCTGCTGGGCCTACTCAGGGAAGAGTTTACAGCTGAAACACAGAGGCTCTAAAAGGTGCTTGCTCACCTGCACACCCACACACCTGCAGACCCGCACACCTGCAGACCCACACACCTGCACACCTGTGCACCCACACACCTGCACTCCTCCGCACACACACACCTCTACACGCACACCTCTGCACACACACCTGTACACCAGCGCACCTACACACCTGCATACCCACATACCTGCACTACTGCGCACCCACACACCTGCATACCCACATACCTGCACTACTGTGCACCCACACACCTGCACTCCTGCACACCCACACACCTGCACACACACACACACACCAGTACACCTGCACACCTGCACTCCTGCGCACCCACACACCTGCAGACCCGCACACCTGCACACCTGTGCTCCTGCAGACCTCTTGCTTCAGGACTTCCCAAGTTCTCCCCCAGGGCCAAAAGCGCTGCCTGGGAGACGCCAGAACTGGGAACAGAACAATGACAAAGGCCTGGGGTAAAAATATATTAAAACAAACACAAATTAAAATCAACCCAATTAAGCAAACAAAGAAATGCAATTAGCATCCCAAGGGCACAAAGAGAAGGACAAGAGGCAGCAGCAGGGAGTTTGTCAGTTCAGCCTGACCACATTCTGAGCTTTTACACTTTTAGATTCTTCAGCTTTCTTTACTGCCAAAAGCATTCATGTCTGATATGCATTCCTAGTGCAAAATCAGTTTTAATCTCACCTCTGGGAGCCTGCCTTTACCCCTGGATTTGGGGCGTGGTAGTGGCTCAGTCTTCCTCTGAGAGGAGCAGAAGGACAGATGCATGTGCTCAGAGGCTGCGAGTGGAGCCCCGGAGCACCTGTGAGAGTTGTGTGGGAGTAGACGGCATGCAGCCTGCGAGTCTGACTCCCGAAGCAGCAGCTGAGGGAGGGCAGGGAGATGCATGCTGCTGGCCTGTCTCACCCACATCAGGGCGGCAGTAGGTTCTACATATTGTACCAATGGTGCAGAAAGAGGCACAATACTCTTCATCTCCATTTAAATAAATGAAATGAATCAATGAAGGACCCCTGAGATCCTTTGCGTCAGCAGGGAATACAGCACAGTGCCGAGTGAAGGACTGTTCCCGCGTGGCGGCTGCTGGCCTGTGCCTATCAGCTCTCAGTGTTGGGTACCTCTGCAAACCGCCATGCTGTACAACAGCTTCTCGAGACAGGTGCTGTAAGAGAAGGAGCTGAACACCGCACACGGATCAGGCGATTGTGTCTGCAGCAGACAGAGCACTCTGCTGAGGCCCCTCCTCGGCCATGGGCATCACAGTGAAGAGAGGCATCATGCTGGGGGACAGCCCACTCAGGGGTCACCATGCTGGCCACAGGCTACTGTAGGCAAACAGCTTCCACACGACACATCGGCATTCTACAATAAGGGAAAAATTCAATATGCTTTGTCAAAGCTTATATAATTGGTCTATTTATTGCACAATACAGTCACTGTTAAGGATCTGGTCGTGATAAATTGTGCTTTTATTCCAGGGCTGTATGGTGCAGAGGGAGGGGGGCTGGGATATGTAAGAATCTGGTGTGGGCACCCTGCACTTCACCCTTCAAGAGAACAGAAGGCTGGGGCTCCAGTGTTATTTGGGGGAAAATGTAGACATCCCTCCCGTCATTCACTCTGTGATTTATGGATGTGCTACAAAGCTGCAGAACTCCTAGCCTCCCCCATTCGCAGGCATCAGATCCCCGTGTCTTTTCCGGGCACCAGAGGGACAGTCACACACAGAGAAGACAGCCAGGCCCATGCCTGAGGCAGAGCACAGGGAGGCAGAGAGGAAGGGGTCTCCCACTGGAGGACCAGCAGTGTGACTTCCTCTTTACCAGCAGATGAAGCGAGACTCTGCTTGGCGAGAGCTGGCAGACACGCAGTGCAGGCTGGGAGGAGGAAGCAGCTGGTGACCAGACAGAGGCTGGGGGACAAAGCTGTAACACAGCTGTTGTGTTTGGGGTGTGGTGGCAGCGAGGCTGGGGTCTTTAAAAGAGATGTGTGTGAATGCAGAGTATTCCAACTAGCTGACACACTGCATCTTGTTACTGTTTCCTCTATGTTTGTAGGGCTTTTGCCACCTCAGGCAGAAAGGCAGGCAGACAGGCCCTGTGCTGGGACACGTTATCACTTGGGGTGTCCTGTGGCGTGCAGTCCATCAACACCAATTACACACGTACAGCCCAATCTGGTTCAATTCTTTGAAAAAGAGAGACAGAGGCAAGTGTCCACACAGATAAAAAGGCACCCTCAAAGATTCAGGTACTGTACTGTAAATTGATAAGTGAAATTAGTTTAGAAGAACAGTCTCTGACAGTGGTTATTAATGATGACAGTGATGGTCCAGCTCACTCCCTGTTTGCAGGACTGGGCCAGTCCGAGCTGGGCCAGGGATACGTCCACTACACTGTGCTCAGACCACTGCCATTTCAGATTCTTCTGATGTTCCCCAAAACTCTGAATCTTACAGATTCTGCTTTTTGGTCTTGAACATACGACTGCAGGACAGGCCCAAATTCATGAGCAGTCCCCTGGATGTATGAGCAGGCTGCTCTTCCCAACACCCTCAACTTGCATGAGCATTGCGGAGCCACAGAGAGACTCCCAGACAAGAGGCCTGGGCAGATAGCAGCCACGCAGTTATTTTCTTGCGTGACAATAAAGATTGCGTCTGATGTCATGTTTAGAGCAGGGAAATGTTTCCAGCCAGAACTGTCCCGCTTACGAGCACAGAGAGCAGACACACGCCTCAGCCTGGTTCCCACACGAGAGAGAGAGACACTCCTGTTCAGTTACAGGAAAGCAGGAAAATAGCTCTGAAATAACACATACTCAGACACACACATACCACCCTGACGCTCACGTTAACACCCAGAATAACTACAACAGAGCTGGAGCCGGCAGAGACAACGATTCTGAACCCGTGTTTTCTGCTGATGAGTATCTCTCATGCTTTAGTGCACTATTGGTCGATAGTCAACACCAAGACCGAAGAAAGCATGTTTAAAATGCATCACTGTTAGCATCTCAACACCTGTTTATTGCCATTTATTCCTTTTCTTAATTAATTTTCACAGGGGAAACAAGCTTGACAGTGTGGGTGCGGACTGGACTGATCTCAGCCGCATCAGCTGTGCTTGTTTTTGTCATCCACTGTCTAATTAATCTAATTATTTATTCATTGACTTTCACAGGGAGGAATCGACCCTGTCCAGAAACAAGACGGAAAGACAGTGTGAGGCTCCCTCTACCACCAGCTATTCTGCTGCTGCTCAGAGCACATCCCCCGATCTCCACGGAGACCAGGAGACACACAGAGGAAGGAGAGAGGGAAGAGAGTGGGGAGAGGGCCGGCGGATGAGTGCGGAGCCAGGGCCACAGGCAGGAAGGGCTGTGGAGTAGCCATGCTGGAGGGGCACGAGGAGAGTCATCTGTACCCAAACACAGGGCTGCCACGCAGGAGCCACCCGGCCTTTTGCTGACCAGAATGTGCTGCTGCCTGCTCAGGAGAGAGAGGGCCATGATATGACATCTCCTGAAGACTGGACCAATCACCGGCTGCCGAGCACCGTCGTTCCCCCCTGCAGGGCCCAGGCCAGGTGGAGCAGCCCCTGTTTACCCATCAGGCCCCGGATAACTGTGTGCTTTGCAAGATAAGGAAGAAGCACCTGGCTCCAGGTCTGTAAAAAAATTATCCCAACTCTACCTGTCTGCTTCAATCATTTCCAGAGCTGCTTCGGAAAGTGGAAGGGGGAGGAAGAAGAAACCCGAAAGCAGAGGACGGGGAGCTCTTCTTTCTTACTTACAGATAACAGGGGAGCAGGGAGAAGGAGGAGGAAGAAGGGAAGGAACGAGGCGAGGCTGCTGCTCCTGCCGCAATTCCCCTTTCCACTCCTCTCCCCTGTGTCACATTCACAGCCCAGCTGCTCCACTGCCGTGCCGGGTCTGAAACTGCCTCTGCTTCACCCCTCCACCCCTACCCCAGAGAGGATCATGGGATGTCGTCAAAGCTCTGAGGAGAAGGAGGCCGCGCGGCGATCGCGGCGGATCGACCGGCACCTGCGCTCAGAGAGCCAGCGGCAGCGGCGGGAGATCAAGCTGCTCCTGCTGGGCACCAGCAACTCGGGCAAGAGCACCATCGTCAAGCAGATGAAGATCATCCACAGCGGCGGCTTCAACCTGGAGGCCTGCAAGGAGTACAAGCCGCTGATCCTGTACAACGCCATCGACTCGCTCACCCGCATCATCCGCGCGCTGGCCACGCTCAAGATCGAGTTCCACAACCCCGACCGCGCCTACGACGCCGTGCAGCTGTTTGCGCTGACGGGCCCCGCCGAGAGCAAGGGCGAGATCACGCCAGAGCTGCTGGGCGTCATGAAGAGGCTGTGGGGCGACCCGGGCGTGCAGGAGTGCTTCAGCCGCTCCAACGAGTACCACCTGGAGGACAACGCCGCCTACTACCTGAACGACCTGGACCGCATTGCCGCTCCCGAGTACATCCCCACTGTGGAGGACATCCTGCGCTCGCGGGACATGACCACGGGCATCGTGGAGAACAAGTTCACATTCAAGGAGCTCACCTTCAAGATGGTGGACGTGGGCGGCCAGCGCTCTGAGCGCAAGAAGTGGATTCACTGCTTCGAAGGCGTGACAGCCATTATCTTCTGCGTGGAGCTCAGCGGCTACGACCTCAAGCTGTACGAGGATAACCAGACGGTAGGCTGCCGTGACACGAGTACCGCCGCTCGCCCGTGGGCACGCAGGCGCCCGTATACACACGCATGCTTTGACACACAGATTTGTGTGCCTCTTGCAGGGTACAGTCAGGCTTTCCAGCCTTAGTAATTTCGGATTTTTAACTGTCTACAATCGCTGTACACGGACCTCAGGAAATGTGCTGTACTACGCGCTGACAGCAGGTCACTGTAGCACAGCAGGCCAGCCACACAGCACAGTCCAGTCAGCCATATGTCCAGTCACGACAGGGCCCAGTCTGTGGGGCTCTGAAGGAAAACCAGAAGCACCTGGTTAAGCTACATGGGAATCGCCAGCATGTTTTTTAGGGTTACAGTTGTACTCATCTGAACAGCAACCCCTTCCCGCCTACTGTAGGTCTCATTTAGCCCAGGACTGTGTCCAACTGAAATTAGATGGGACGCCCATCCAGTAAAGAATATCCCTGTTTGTGAAAACTAGCAGGCAGGCTGTCAGGACACACGGTCTCCTGTGTTCAGCAATCAGAACCCCTGGCTGAGAAGCCCCTGAAGATTCTCCTGGCCTGTCGGACTAGGAGGACCCAATCCACTTCATGGGGAATACAAGCAAAGCAGCCCCCTTCCCAGAAGGAGCAGGGCTCCAGAATCATATCTGATAAGTCAGTGGTGAAAAATGAATCAATATAATTGTTTGCCCCAAGAAATCAAGACTACTGTATGGCTGGCGTGGAATTAAGCACATCTTTCAAACCTGCTGTTGTGCAAGTGCTGGACAGCTATTTCAGACAAGTTGCAACGGAGCAAAGTGATAAGATCAGATAGAGGACTGAGGCCGTGAGGCAGAGTGGAAGACCAAGGGCTGTTGTGTCTGGCTGCTTGCACCCGTGCGGGCCAAACCGGCCTGTAGAGGGTAGAGAGGGAGTGTGTACGGGCAGGACAAGACAGCGCGCAGGCCTGGCCCCTGAGAGGACCCGTCCTCTCTATGAGCTGCACCTCCAGAAGGCAGGAAGACAGCCTAGTCTAGCTAGTAAGAGCCCCGGGCCAGTGACCATGAATCTTCTCTTTCTACAGATTGGGAGCAATTGTGAATTATTGATCAAGTAAGCAAGGGATTTGTTTATTTAAGGGAACTCTGATCCTTGAGGATTAAGGGTCTTGAAATTTTTGTATCTCTAAATTGCTTAATTTGACAAATCATCTGATTTACCTCCATAGAGACTGTTATCAACACTTAGAAATGAATCAGTGGTCATCCACTGGACCTCTTTAGCAGCAGAAACACAGTCCCATCTGGTTTAAACACAGGGCGACCATGAGGAGAACCGTTGCTTGATCATACCTTCAAGATTATCATGTTGTTGTTTGCAGTTACTAACACAAAACACAATAAATGGATTATTTATTTTTGTTAATAAGGAATTTAAATATTCACAACCACTCTCCCAAACAAACCGGTTACATTGATCAGCTGTTTGATCTGATTGAAGATCAATAGCATGAGTTTGAAGCACATAGTCATCAAGAGCCAACATCCACCTTGGGTGACATGACCCGTATTAACTTGCGTATTAATTATCTTTCCATTTACTAGCAATTTTAAAATCCTGTCCTATCTGAGAATGTCCTAATGAACACAGAATGATATGACCATTCTATTTAAACATCCACTAAGCAGGGACTTGGGAACCATTTAAAACACTCATTAAGCTGCTGTATGTCCTTCAGTCAAAGGTATTATAACCCAACAATCCACATGGTATTACAGAATACAGTGCTGAAATTCTGTATCAATAATTTGTGGCTGCAGTCATGAGCAGTATAACAAACACATTCGCTCTTGAACATGAGGAGTTTGAACCACTTGCCTGTCCAGCCCCGAACAAGGCAACAGCACCAGTCACGAAGCTAGAAATCTGTGGATGACTTAATCAGCAAACACTGAGCTTTAAAAAGAATGTTCTGTGGTAAATAGCAATGCATTAGAGCAATGCAGAGGTCAAGACTTTTATTGCTAATAAAGGGCTAATGTGAAAGCCAACTGACTGAAAATGTGGGGATTTCAAGAATGGCTCAGCGCCCAGCCAGTCTGCTGGTGTATTGATCTGGATAACAGGGCAGTGTTCATTCCCAGTCACTGGCTGCATGGCTTGACACCCTTGTCATCATTTAAAATGACTACACGCACTCCAGTTTGTGTCAGACGTTTAGGTCCTGTAGTTTCAAAGTCATGGCTTGTGGTTGGTAGATCTACGTCAGAGAAGAGCGATTCTGTCCAGCCCATTCCATGCCCATCACACACCCACAGGCCAAACCGGCAGGAGTAAGGAAACCCAGGGCCACTGAGACCTGGAATATTCAGGGTAATATGCTACAATCTGCCTGATAAGCTTAGTATTACCTTTTCTGCAGGCTTATTGGGGCAGCCATGAGTGATAATTTGCTGGTAATGAGAGATGGTGGGCGTGCTGTTGTGCAAACAGGAAGCCCAGTTCCTCCTAGGGGAGACAAGGTACTCGAGTCAGGACCACTGGTGCTACTGGTTTCGTTCCAGGCAGGCTCTGCAGACTCAGGGGCTCTGTGTGTACTATACGATTGAGGGCAGTCAATGTTCAGTGGCACTGCAGGATGTGAAAACACGCTGCTCGTTAAAGGGGAACTACAACGCTATTTTCATATTTTGGGAGATAAATCTAATAGAAATATTGTTTACGATTTCAACACGGTTTTGCCAAAAAATACTATTACTTGTTAATGCTGCATGCAGATCATGTTGAAATATTTCTGCGGTTAAATGCTTGCTGCACAACCTGTTTTCGCTCGTACATCACAGTACATTAGTCATGATGCAAACCTTTGAGCAGGAAGGGCCGAATCATGTCGCAATTCGTGGGAACTTGAACGCTAGTTTGCGACAACATGGTGACTTACAGTACTTTCACAGAGTTCACGATTTTGTGCCTAAATCGAAAATTGTAATTTCATTGTAATGTCAATGTCAATGAAATAATTTTGTTACTGAGATTTAAGAAGCGGTCTGAGAAATTGAGGCTGCAGCTCCCCTTTAGCTGCCAGTGCTTGCATAGTGCCCTTCAGCGCTGGTTCCCCCAGAGCTCGGGCCGTCCCGGAGGACAGTAAGAGAGGCCCCAGTGTCGGCTCATGCCTCGTCAGAGCCTTCAGCACTTCGGTTATGCAATCGCCAAGTGGGTCGAAGATTTGATTCAGTTCCATTCAGCCCTGCTTTCTAATGGACTTGAAGGAGAATAAACCATTTAAATCAAGCACATACAGTAAGATCTCCAGCTGGAATAAAGAACCATAGGACCTCAGACGAGCTTAGTACAATTAGCACCATGTCCCTGCAGTTGGCCAGGCTTTGCTCAGCATGTTTACAGAGATCCTCCCTTTCCACTGGAGGATGGGGCAGCAGGTACAGAATCAGCTCCCGCCTCCCAGTCAGGCTGCGCTGGGAGCTGTGGGGGACAGCAGTTGTCGCCTCAGGGGTTCAGGAGAGGCAGGGGGAGACAGACAGCGAGGGAGAGAAGAGGACAGAAGCAGGAGGACTAAATCAGAGAGGGTGGTGGTGAGGTAGAAAGCTACGGAGAGAGGGAGAGGATAAAAGAGCGAGAGGTGGGGGAGGGAGAGAGAGGAGAAGGCATCCTGAACTCTGACCCTCTCCTCCTGTGTGATGGTGCCCTAATTGCTGGCTGTATTATGCACTCTCCTCCACACAGCAAGAGACAGAAGGGGGATTTAAAGCACAAGCAGCTTGTCACGTCCCAGTGCTTTCATTATTCTGAATACATGATGCAATTGCTTTCATCCCTCCACAACACCGAGGAAAAGCCTGACTCGGCTGGCGGCAGAGGAGCCGGAGGTGCTGGACAGAACCTGAAGAGCAGTTTCAGGAGCAGAAGAGAAGCCAACTGATAAGCAAACAGGAGGCTCATTTATCTTTCTGCAAACAGCGGCTCTCCCGCACAGGGTGGGAGGCCGACTAATTAAATGAAGCAATTTGTTGCTTTAAAATAAAGAAACTGTTTGCACAGGCTAGGAAGCAGCCAGGTTTGCTCATCAGCACTATCAGAAACAGCTGTAAGGTTAAGAGCAAGCTAACAGAGAATAAGTTCTTAGGATAAAAACAGTTTTTCTAAAGGATGTTTAAGAGATTCTTTGGAGAAATTGGGGCATCACACAGTCTATTACTGATTATCCATTTATCTTCTACTTTAAAGAAAAGTATGGAAAAACTATGAAATGTCCTTGTTATTGTAATGGCAAATGATTACTGCCCAGTGTTTGCTCAGACATGCAGACATTTTACTGCAGACGTACACCAGCCATTAACAACATAACTCGAAATAACCTGAAACAACTCAGTCGGCCTCTTTACACAGCACCTGTGATGACTGGAGAAGGAGTTACTGACAGACGCAGTGCTCACTGCCCGTCAGAGGACAGGGAGCCTGGTGTGACCGTGTGCGTGTGTACGTGCGTACCTGCCAGCGCGAGAGTAATGCAATACCTCCAGCAGGGAATAAGAATGAGGGATTAGAGCATGAAAATTCAAACCACACAGTCAATACCAGCTCTGGCAATCACAGGCACGTCTAATCCATCAGAATCAAACGCCCCCCGCCCCAGCCGGCCTGCTGCAGCAGCGTGTCTGATCCCAGACCCAGCACCAGTCCTACTGAGATAGAATCCACCCGCCTGCCCTCCTCCCAGAGAGCTGGGCTCCCAGTGCGGTGCTTGCTGCAGCTACAGCAAAGCCTCTGCTTGATGAAATGATTTCTGAGCTGCTAGGAGGACTGGCCATTAACCACGCAGGCTGTGCTGCTGACCTAATTTTCATCAGGGTCTGAACACAGCGCGTTGGTCATGGAGATCACAGGAGTGCAGGGTAATGTGTGTGTGTGGTAACGTGTGTAGTGTCTGTATTATAGACCTCCCCTCCCCCATTACACTACTACAGCCGGACCCTCAGATCTCTTCACTGTGATC